CTGAAACGAGTTCTACGAGCTGTTCTGGCGATTCTAACGACCTCAAGTACTCCCCCCTACGACTCGTGTGAGTGTGATCTTCAACGCCTGTCAGGCACCTCAGCTTATCTCAGTAAGTCCCGGGGAATGATTGGTTCTGTTCAGTCTTCAATGATGTAACAATACCGCCTTGTTTCATTTACCTGTCGTTTCTTCCTGCTTAGCTCTGGTGTCGACACCGTCGGTGGGCGGAAGATCAACTAAAATTGGGCTGTGACTTACTGGAACCGATGGTGAGTTTGGAGCCGTTGGATCCGGCACCGGGACGTCTCACTGACATGGCCGAAGCGTCTATCGAACAGCCACGTGCTGCACAAGCAAATTCATCTCTCGGCCCATCTTCGTTGTCGCTTCTTGGCACTTCCAATTTACTGAATATGACGGTGATTCAGGTGAGCTTCACTTATTTAAAAATGTAACTTTTATTGACTGAAACACACATTGCTTTTGCCACACACAATCGTTTCGGCTCTGTTTGTGCTCTTTGTTTATTTAGTTGCCAAATTTTACCCCATTATTTAGTTAATTCTACCCCACATTTGCCCTCTTTATTTCCGTTTATGAGTATCTAATTTCACCCATTAGGGTGGTTTTTTTTCGGACCATAGTCGTCCTCCCACACGGGACACTTTTGGTGAATCTTTGGATGATGAGTCGTTGGTTCTCTTCCAGACGCTGTAACTTTCCTCTCATTTCTGTACATCTTTCTCGAGCAATAACCGTGTTTGAGTCAACACGTCCAAATCACAGAAAATCCCGTACTACTGTTACTGTCGAGTAACCAGCTTTGTCAACATCAACACCTCGTCGTTTGGCCAAAATCGATTTAAGCACGAAAGTATCTCCAAAACCACTGCCTGTATCCACACGGAAACTCATAATTCCCCTTTTTGGATTGTTTGTAGCACTATGGACGACGCTTTCGGCATGTACTAGTCCACCACTGCTGATCCTTAGTGGTGGTTTGTGAAGCGTGCATTTACGGTAGTTTTTAGCGGTTGTTGGTACTCTACACGACACCAAAATGGTCACCGGACCGTTTCTTGGCCATTGTACCTTTGTGCACCAAATGCATGTCCCCAGAGCCGCCCTTTGTTTGCGATACTACTTTAGAAAACCCTAGGTTCAATCACCTGTCAACACAGCGCTAGTTAGGCCTCGGTTGTCGACTCACGTCACCGCATCCTCAGCGAGGCGCCTAGTAAGACTCATGAGGAGTGCAAGCAGAGTAATGGAGCATCAGTTGTTGTACTGTTTGTTTGTCTTTTAAACGGTTGGTGATCTGTGGGGCGCGTTACACCCTTTTTCCAGAAGGGCCTGGTAAACCATCGGTAGTTTTTAACTGGGCAACATTTCGCTCTTGACGCAAAAGTTGATCACCAAGTTGGCCAGGTTTTAAGGTAGACGGAGAACCTCTTCGGATTATCACACTAGGTCAATGTTGAGCGTCCATTAAAGGTTCTTGTCGGTTAGTGTGGTTGCCAAAATCTTGCATTGATGGGTTGGAAGAGTTTTAAATTAGTTCCGATCGACTTTTGTTCTTTAATCTTCCACTTCAGGGTACTCCATTTGATGTTTTACCGCGGGTGTCACTGGTAGATTTCCGTTGGTCAGATAATCGCATACCAACACGTATTAGCTCGACTGATCCAAGACCGTTCTCCACACGCTTGCAAGTTCCACGCCTTCCATTCTGTTAACACTGGGATGTTTGGAGATTTCTACCGCCTCGACTATCCGTCCCTGTAACGTGGACCGTAGTCTTCGCCTCAAAGCCTCCACATTTTTAGATCGACATTGTGTCCTATGTCCAGTGCGTGTTTCGCAGTTTCCGAGTCTTTCATTCATCCCGTTTCTCGACGGCCTGTTTATTTTTCTCCTATGGCCTGATGAAGCTTTCGTGTCAACAGCGAACCGTTGCCCAATCAGAAACTACCGATTGTTTACCATGCCCTTCTGAAACAATGAATTAATAATCGGTTCCAAACTTTTTCCACTCGCCTGAAGACGTTACACCACCTTCATACTGTCGGTCGATAGAGTACGACCTTACGAGATTTCTTCTCAGGGCCACCACAATAACTGGTTTACTTCGAAAAATAAACTGGTGTTCGTGTTCAATCAAGCAACCCAAATTGCCTAGGTCGTACCACGCACCGCATCTGTCACCTACAAGGCTCTTGTGAGACAAGCCGCCCGACCGATCTCTTCGCTGCTCTGAAGAAATATGCTTGCTTGTTGGATTTTCACGGCACTAAATATCTGAGTATCGTGCTAGGACGTTTTGGGAATATAAATTGCCAGGGGGGTGTTACGAATAGAGTTTCGGTTCTGATTGAGCGCGAGAACAAGAATGAATAGCGTAGAGAACCCAACGCAATGGTGCATTCACCAGTTTTGAACATTGTGACCATCGTATTCGGCCAAGTTCGTACCCAGAATGTGGTTAGCAGTTTTTTAGTCCTGTCCTTTTTTCCTTGTGCGATGAATGTCGAGTATGTTTCACTGTGTAATACCTATTTTTTGGGCGAGATGGCTCAAGTGGTTAGAGTGAGAGTTTACTGACCTGAAGGTCCGTGGTTCGAACCCGAACTCTACCTCTCGACTCTCCTTGTCTAGGCTTGGGCAACCTGACAGTATCTTAGCCTTCGTGCTTCCTTCGGGTGGCATGGCAGGTAGGCACCGAAAGGGTGTTACAGCTGAACGATTTTTCCCCGTGATTCACGACGGTTTCAGTCACCCGTTTCTTAGCTGATTTTTGAAGGACGTTATTTTCGAGTAAACCAGTGACACGGTAATTCCATTAGGTCGGCTTCCTTTAGAAAAGGCGTACAGTTCCTACGATCCACCAACTACCTGCACTTAAATTCCTATATCTTTGCAACCTCTGGTCTCGTTTGCATGGTCTCGTTCGCCGTGAGTAACGCGCTTGCGTTTTATCAGCCAGATCCTTTTGGTTCATTAGCCGTTTCGTCCGTCATTTGGAGAAAACATGGGTTTATTTAGGATAAATACACTCATTTGCAAATCAATTTGATTATCACGGGAGACTCAAGTGAATCTCTCGTTTATGGTGCTCTTCGACTGACTGGCGCACGAATGCTGCCTCACGTTTCAGTTGGAACGATATTGGAGATATCGCAGTATATTTTCACAAAGAAACTATTCATAAGGTTACTCAAAACGCTTCGACAGCCAACGACCCGTTTCGTCCTTCTTGGGGCTCACCAGGTGAGCACAGTTCCCAAGTTTCCGTCAAGCTTATGTTCTACTTGAACCGTGAAGACCAAGTGCAAATAAGTGTATTTGTCGCAATCAGTCCAATGTAGGTTCAAGTAAAATGCAAGGTTAACGGACACTCTGAGACCGAACCCCAAGAAGGGCAAAACCGGTTGTGTGCTGTCGAAGAGTTTTCAGCAACCTCACGAGTCGCTTCCTTTGGGTTTATTTATTTTCATATGAACGTAGCAGATACTCGGGTTGCATATACGGCTTATCCGCATCACTTTTTCAGCGTATCTAGCTGCTTACAATCGCTTTTTCTACTTCATCAGTTTGTGGCTGTAAGTAAGTACGGTCTCTGCTGCCGAAGCACCTGCCGTGTTTTCGGCATCGATCTGATGGGCACTCGTCTCGACCCAGATAACACTTATATGGCCGTGGCACTGCCCTGGAATTACAACCGAATGACTATTTACCCACAAATTACATTCGTTCTATTTTGTCATCTGGATCGGAAACGGAGCCTTTTCTAGCTTTTATTTTTGCCTACGGATGAACTTTTGTTGACCGGCTGCATGTGTTCTCGGATGAACAAAGTCGTTGTGTACAACACCTAAATTCTGCCCACTGATCTCCCAATTTTCGAACAGCAGCCCGGTGGACAGGACTCAAATATCTCATCGAAGACTCCTGTGGTGCCGCAAGAAGCGGGTCTACCGACTGTCCCCATGCCTCCAGTCAATTCACCATGTGTTTTGAATGTCACTCCTGAATTACCACCGCAGCTGTTGTACGAAACCACCACCTTGATACCTCTGCCTGAGGAACGAGAAGAACAAGCTAGGGAAGGGATGATGGAATTCCCGAGTAGGTTTTCGATGGATTGCAATATATTTTTGACCTGCAGCATAAATGATAGCAGTGTCAACGGTTAAAATTGCGAGACTATCACCTGTGATTTTGTTTGCTTTATTGGCTGTGGTAGAGCCAACCTTCTGCCCGTCATTGGTACGATTCAGGATGTGGCTTGCAGCGCTACGGATTGATATCAGTCGAGTTCTTGTTTCCGGCTTCCTTTCAGTCTGTCTAGATACCTTAGCGCCTATCACCGTCAACCAGGACTAAGAAGATCTTTTCTCCTCTATTTTACCTCTTTTTATAGGGGGGGGGGTTCTTCAGACACATTCTTAAACCTGGATAAACTTCGTCGTAACAACAACCGTTGCAACGAGAACCCCCCTCCATGAGACTCGCAGGATTCAAACATTTCGTTTGCATGTCATCTCTGTGGGTATTGTACCTTACTTGTATGGGAGCACAACACGTGCAGCTATCCACGATGATCATTTCGAAGGGCCCACAGGGTCAACAAGTTACATAGGCATCTTTTTACTAGCCATGGGACATCAAATCGATAAATGGACATGGAGTAATGACGTCATATGTGTCATCGAGTCCCTGTGCCTGAAGTCGCTGTTTCGGGACACTTTTCACATGAAGTCCGCACAGACATGGACAGTTGTTTAGTAAAGATATGGTCGCACCATAAAAAACCTCAGCCACACGAACACACATTATTATCGGGCTTTACCAAATAGACTTGGTGGGATCGGACATGCGACCCTTTCAGGCTGTTCTGGCCCAATAGATAGCCGCGCACTAACGGGTGAAGAGTCATGCCAGTATCTTTACTCTTTGGTCAGTTGACTGCATTTCTCATGCAGTTCATGATTCACCACACAAAATAGCTAAAACAGGCTCAGCTCTTGTGGTACTTCCCGAATTCTGGCTTTCGTCCAACTAGTCTTTTTCTGTGGTCCGCAAACAGTGACGTTCTGGGAAGAAGGGGATATGCATATTCTCGGATGGCAACTGTTGAATCGTTCAGCTGTAACACCCTTTCGGTGCCTAGCTGCCATGCTACCCGAAGGAAGCACGAGGGCTGGGATTCTGTCAGGCTGCCCAAGCCTAGACAGGGGAAGTCGAGATACAGAGGTCGGGTTCGAACCACGGACCTTCCAGTCAGTAACTTCGCGCTCTAACCACTTGAGACATCTCGTCCAATAACGTGCTTCAGCGGTTGAATCAGTGACCTCAACACTCGGTGTTGCTAACGCAACTCGGATCTGGTGAAGCAAGGGGTGGTAGTCAACTGACGACGTTCTGTCAAAGTTTGACAGCGCCTCTCGTCACATTACCGGATATTGATCGGATTGGGGTCAAGTGATAGACCTCAACACTCATTGGTTGCAAGTGCCGACATGGACACTTGTTTTGGTCGATGACCAGCCTATACGCACCAATTCGTAGGTCTATCAAAATCATTTTCTATCCCTGTGTCCACCTTTAGTGGTCCTCCTCCACATGTTTCTCCCTGTACCAATCCACGGTGACTGTACAACACGAGTCAGTGTGCTCGTAAACGCCGTTCAGTGTGAACGATGATCACCCTTGTGACGTGAAATACACGCACAGTTCATGGTTGATTTGTTCCCTTTGTAATGGTCTTGTCGCTGGACGTTTGCAAGCTAGGACCCCCACATCCAAATAACCAGGCGAACTTACAGCCATGTTTCACCAAATTTTAGGTTCTGTGCCAAAATGCCCTAGTAACAGGGTTCGGCAGACAATCAGCTCTCTTGCGGTTGCGGAGTCACCTGAAAAACAGGACTGCTTCCACCAGGGATCCAAGATACACGTCCCTAAAGCATAAACGCGGCTAATTCCAGAAGACTGGTGGTCAACTCGTTCGTTTCCAGGCCCTTCTCACAGATAACCACGTAGAATCCGAAGATTTGTTTCGCGTGCAGTTCCGTGACCGAAACCCTAGACTGTTATCCATCAGTAAGGGCTAACTCATCAGGATTCCTGCACAAGTGCTACGTGCACAAAAGGTATCGAAGTAATGCATCTGATGGTGTGACATTCAGCTACAACCCTCTGTTCGTCCAACCTTGTTGCTAGCGCAGTATAGTATGGCTGTATGTTTTACGTATCAAGACAAATGTTACCACTCCATGGTATCTCATTTACCCTTGGTCACTGTCCGTACAAAGGTTCCCTAAGCGGACTTCTTAAATGTATTTATTTCTGAAATATGCTTAGTGCACAGTCTCCCATTCCAATTCATAACTCAGTGGCCTTCCTGACCTAACTTTTATTTCAAGCTCCTAACCCATCGTCGGTTTTATTTTTTCGGTTGATCAGAAGCTCAGATGAACGAATCAAATGACACCAACGAATGCTAACCTTAGCTTTACATGTGACGCGCTACTAAGACTTCCTCTTCCTGATTCCTATTTGCACGTGCTTAGCATCAATCCGACAGTCCCGATTGATTGAACCGCAGTTGGCCGCGAACCCTCTGTACAAGGATTCTCATGGGGTGTGGAGGTAAGATATCTTCATTTTAAAGCATCTCCCCACCCAGACGACTTCAAGAGCTGCTCGCCAACTCGGATAAAAACTCCGTCGAAATTACGGAGCTTTGTCCTCCGGGAACCTTGAAAAAAGACGCTGCTCTGGTTTTCGCCACCGTACTTCGTAAGTTCAATCTGCGGCTAATTTAATCTTGTCTCTAATTTTAGAACTGGCCAAGAAAAAGCTCGTTCGACCCACGCAATCAGAGCCCTACGGACCCATCTACCTTTGCCATTACTGATACTTTTTCACCTCGTTTTTATACTACTGTGCATTTCTATATATTTCCTGTTTATTCCAATTCTTGTTGAAACACTGATTAACCTATTTCGCCTTATATAGACGTTTTATTGTTTTGTTACAGTTTGGGTTTTTCTTGTTTCCTATTCTGGGTGGGTTTCAGATGTGTTATTGGCAACCGGCATCTGATGTCAAGGGTGACCATGAATCCTACATGTTCACCGGCCAACGGATGGGCGAAATTGACTCTTGTTGTGGGTTGTTTGACGAGTCCTCAAATCAGACAACGACGATGAAGCGTTTCTTTCATGTTAGAAGACCATTCTTCTTATTTTCATGAAGGAAACTACTCACAAGGTTGCTCTTATTTTCAGAAGGAAACTACTCACAAGGTTGCTGAAAACTCATCCTAGTTCGCTATCGACAACACACTGGCGGTGTGTTGCGAAGAACCACTGGAGTGTATCACCTTCTATATGAGATAGGGTACTGACTTTGAGTCAGTACACCCGGTTTTGCCATCCAGAAGTCTTTGTAAGTTTCTACTTTGTTTTTCATTTCATATTTTAGGCCGGAAGTAAGTTAGGTGTGAAGGATGAACCATTCTGTTTAGAGCGACTTCACCGAATTTTGTGCTGACCAGGTTCATTCGGGTATGACGTCGCCAAGGAAATTGTACTATGGGCCCTTTTTGTTGACAAACCGAGCTGGTCTGTGGGCTAACAGTCTGGGAACAGTGCGGTTTCTTTCCATCAGTAGGTGAATGAAATCGAAACGAACTATCGATTCAAGGTAGACAGATTCCAAGTAGGTGGTACGCAAAATATCACGGGACCAGTTCCAGCGTAACTTGGTGAAACACAAAGACTGGTCAGTTGAAAAAAAGCAAATAAAGAAACTAGGAATTCGTATGAGTATAAAAAATCAGACCATTATTTAATCAGCGTTGCCTTCTTTCAAACTATCGGGCTGTTCACTTATATCGGCGGAAAAGATTCGTAGCCGGTGGAATACTAATGCAACTCGAAGATGCCAGTGGAGGTTGTAGGAGCATTGGCATTCGAATAACATCTGAAAGTTGTGAAGACACTTTCGAATATGGCAGTGTTTCGACTGGTTAACAGGCCGTCCCACTTTTCAGCTGTAACACCCTTCCGGTGCCTAGCTGCCATGCCACCCGAAGGAAGCACGATGGCTGGGATACTGCAAGGTTGTCCAAGCCTAGGGAGAGGAAGTCGAGAGGCGGAGGTCGGGTTCGAATCACGATGGTCGCCAGTAGAAATGAACAATGCAGTTTCCCATAGATTGGTTGAGTCCATTCAAATTAGTGAGTAAAATAGCTTGGTAAACTTACCGGGGCCGCAGGTTGGTGAGAAATTTTTGCTTTCCGTTTGATATTGAGTATAAATAAGTTAGTTGCCTGAAATTCAAACTGTAACGAAATGCAATGGGAACAAGGTATTGAGAAGTATACTGTCCAAATTGTGGTCAAACTCCTTCTAAAGGAGTATGACTTCTGGGGAGGAAGAGGTTTCTTCCAATCCCCAGGGTATAAAGCTCAGAGTTGTGAAAATTGATCTTACGAGTGCCCGCTTTCGCAAGATGCATGCACTCTGGGGAAGTTACTGTCGAGGTTTTCACTTTGCTTGCTCCTAACTTAGGGTCATCTGGTTCGGAAACGAGACACCATACTTCCGTCGGTCCCCACCGCATTTCGACTATTTTATCACCATGGAGTCAACAACACGTCTCAAGATCTTGAGGATACCACAGCGTCCCTAATCCAGCTGGTATATCCGCTTATTTGGTTTTTTTCCACTGAATTTGGGGCACCCTACACTGTCGTATCACGTTTCCACAACAAGATGATGGCCTTTCTTAACTTATTTCGGAGGGAGACATTAATGATCCGACGGTGCTTAGTTCGATTCACTCCAGCCAGTGTTTACGGGTCATCGTTGAATTCCTCCCCTGCCTACCGAACCCCGGTGTCAAGTCTGGATGCTCACGAAGCGATCTGTCGTGCAGTTACAATGTCCAACGCGTGCCAAACTCGTGGTTTCCGTCTGGTAACCCACAAACGCTTAATTCGGGGCGGTCCATCCGCGTGCACGAGTGTTGAATGTTCCTTGAATCCTAGCGCTGACAAACCACTGAACAAATCGGTTGCTTGAAGTTGACAGTAAATCGGAAATCTCTCAAGGGTTTTTCAAGGCAGAATAAGTAGCAATGTTATGTTTGCCACCTCGATTGTTTTCGCCCAACCAAGCGTTCTGCTTTTTATATATA